CTATATACATATTTACGCATACATACATACATATAACGGTTATATGATAAAAATTTTGAGCGCTGCTGACGTCACTAGCTTCTTACATTTGAGTTTTTGTAAATACTTGCATACATACATATTTGTAAAATGGCGGCTAACTGCTCACAAATTAAAGGCAAACACACACACATACATGCAAACACTTGTATTTATTTCCATTTCACTGAAACGAAAATTGCAAATATTTTTACTTTTCACTAAGGACATGATTGCAATTGTACCTATAAATACACACACACACACACACAGAAATACGTAAAAACTTATTTAAACGCCTAAAAGTATGTTTGGAAATACAGTCACAGCGAAAAAAGCAAGAAAATATAAAAGTAATGAAATGAGTAGCATAAATAAAGGCGAAAAAATTAAGAAAAATTTATAAGCCAATTAATTATAATTTGTTATTTTTAAAGGCAAAAGAAAAAATAAGGAAATGAAAAAAAAAATACTTGCAAACGCTGCCTAAAACATGCGGCGCTGCTTGTGGCAAGTTAATGTTAAAAGTGCATACCCCTTATGCCCCTCACACTCAAGCGACTCTCAAAATTTGTTAAGTCATGGAATTATTGAGGCAAAAGCTATGGAAATACACACACACACACACACATGCAAGCAAATGTTTGCATACTCAGCTACACACATACATACATATGTACATAATTGCATAGGGCTGCAACATTATGCAATTGCATGCGTATCCGAATATACTCGTATTTATGTAATAATCATTGAAATGTTTATTTAGCAACTATTGAGAATTGTATTGAATTTGCAAATTGATTATGAGCTGAACTCTCATAACTAAAGCTACTATATACACACACATATATACAAACACACATGAATAGCAGTAAAATTATGTACACATGAATACATAAAGTATATATTAACTTATACATATATACATATGTATATGTAAATGCATACTAGAGAAAAGTTGGTGGCCATGAACCACGTGACACAGACACACTCACACATACAAACACATCTACGCATTAATACACAAACAAACCAAAAATATAACCACATAAATATACAAGATTAATATTTAAAGTATAAAAACAATGGAGTTTTATTTCAGTGTTGTTGTTATTACCACAAATTGGCAAATAAAGGGGAAATTGGGGACACAGCTTTCTACAGGGTTTCTGAGGGCTCACTAGGGCAGTCCGTAAGATCTTAAATTTTTTTTAGCTTAATATAACAATAAAAACGCGACAAAATGAAGAGATTTACTAATAATAACGGCTAAAAAAATTACTCAGGGTTGCAAATGTTAGAAAGTTAGATTTTAATTTTTTTTTTTTAATTTTAAATATTGCATTTTCGTTATGAAAATAAAAAAGGTAAACAAAAATTAAAAGTTACAATATTTTCGAGAAATATTGCCACCTTTTTAAAAATTTTGGTTTAAAATTGTATTTATGAAAGGTCAAACCAAAGGTATTTGAAACGGTTTACGAAAAAATACTACAAAATGAAGAGATTTACAATAATGATGATTAAAAAATTATGGAGTGTGGCCACCTGTTAAAAAAATTTTATTTTTACATTTAAAAAAAAATTAAATATTACATAGGTAATGTATGTTGTGGAAAAAAATAATAAAAGGTAAGTATGACAATATTTTTGAGAAATATTGCCACCTGTTAAAATTTTTTTTTTTGTAATTTTATTTGTAAAAAGTGAAAAAATGTAATATAGGTATCAAGCTAATTTGATTTGAAGAGACTTACCCTAGAAATATTGCGCCCTGTTTAAAAATTTTAGTTTAAATTCTAATTTATGAAATACGAAATATTGTAATATTGATACCAAACTAAAAGGATTTGAATATTCTTAGAAAGACTGCCACCCTTTTAAAATTGTATATTGAAGCACTTTGGAGAAATTAATAGAATATTGATACATAGACAATTGATTAGAGTTAAAGAATATTTCCGTTCAAAATATCTTCGAAAAATATTGCCAACTGTTTAAAAATTTATTTAAACTCTTTGTTTTTTTTTTAATAAGTGAAATATTACAATATTCATATCAAACTAAAGGGATTTGAAAACGGTTCTAGTAAGTAATTTCTTCAGAAAGGCTGCCATCTGCTTAACAAAATGTTTTCAATTCAGAAAAAAAAATAGAATACTATGGTGTGGAATATACAATGGTTTTAAATAAGATTGGAGTTAAACATTTTTCCCAGAAGGATGCCACCTGTTTAAAACTAATTCAATATCACAAGTAAAAATAAAATTCAGTATTACAGTAGATACCAAATTCAATATTGTATTTAGTTAATTATCAAATAACTAAATTTTTTATAAAAACGTCAATAAGATATTAATTTTTTCCTCTGTACATCATTAAAATAGCTAAGACAAATACCTCTCTTGTTTCATTTACGCAACCATTCACACAAACTATGACACAGGGTGTTTCATAGTATAGAAAATTTTTAAAGTAGTGTTGCCGTTTAATATTTTGTGTAACGTTTTAAGAAAAAACAATAATGTAACTGCATTTTTGAAAAACATTTTATGATCGCTTCATTCTTCAGAAAATGCATGAAAATCGATAATAAGCATATGAAAACATTCACCGGTGTTTAAATTATTTCTATAGCCTAAAGAAAGCATCGCCGGTGTTTACCAAACGAAATAAGAAAATTTACGAAATTCAAAAAATTTGTTGAAATTTTCGTTTCCGTAATATTTATAAACTATATTTTATTAAAGAATGGAGTTTGATACCGTCACAAATTTTACTCATTAAGATTTGACTTGAGTTATTGTATATGAATAAAAAAAATGACAAAAATTGAGAAAAGTAGTACAACGGCAACACTTTATTTAGTATTGAAGGTAAAATATGGTGAATTCGTACATGAGTGTAGATTATTGTACTTTCTCTGGAAGATATGTATGTATGTATGCTCAAATGAATTTCTAACAGAGCTGGAAAACACAGAGAAGAGAATTCACCATTCTCTAACATATTTAATACTCTTTAACAGAAACACGTAAAAAACACTGTACGCTAACAGATAAGATCTTTCTACTCAAATAACCGATCAAAATCAAAATCTCGTGTTGCTTCCAAAGGAAGAAGTGTTTGTAACCAAAACGTCAAAATCAGTTGTTTTTTGTTTTTCTTATGAATTTTCCGTTCACATTTTACTGATTTGGTGTTATTTACAAACTGTTCGTATTAAATTTTCACACAAAAATAGCATACTTTTGTTTGAAATCTTTAAAAACAATTTTTTCGAAGTATAAAAACAAAACAGCAGATTTTGACATTAATGATCCAGTAACTTTTGACAAACTGTTGTTTTTGAGCTAACGACACAACCTTATATAATTGAATCATGGTTATGATCGATTCTAACTACATACATAAATATTTACTTTACCCTTTATTTACATACTATGTATAAACATTATTTATAAATATATACAACCGAAAACAAGGAAATTGAAGTTCCTTCATTTTGTTAAACCCGCACCTATGTTAAAGTTTGGTAATAACAAGTTGAGTCTTAATTTACCTTTCCCATATGTTTTATAAATTTTATTATATTTTCCCCTTTTGGGCAAAGCAGTAGCTGTTTTGCACAACGTCACCACTGTTTATCAATTAACACGCGGTTTGCTCATTTTGCTCAGCAGCTGACGTCACCGTTAGCTTTGCCGGTCACGAGAGCAGTACAGTCTACGTTAGCAGCAGTAGCGCAACGCCAACGTTAACAGCGGTGTTGACGGCGCTCTTTGGAGCTGGCAACCCAATTCGATGTTGTGTTTGTTGAAATTTTCACCACACGAAAAGTATTTGCCTTTGACTCCCACGCTATGATCAGCCCTCCATTTAAGTGGCGTACATACTTAAGCACGTATTTTACCATATCTTTATTTTGCTTGATGGAGAAACCTGTTAATTTTTAATAAATCGTATAATTTTGAAGAATTTATTTAATAAAATTTACGCTTTAAAACCGCCACTAAAATTTTTATAATTTCCTCAACCACCTTGATAAGCGGTATTTTAACATAAATACATACTTTATTTACATATCATATATTAATATACATATCACTCATATTAATATACATAGATACATGTATTAATATGAATGTCGCCTTGAGCAAAAAGCAAAGGAAAAAAGTAAAAAAGCATGAAAATACAATCCAATTGCCCAATTCGACACCTCGCTGCTCTGCCTCTTCCGTTTTAATTTTTTTCTCAATTGCCGATTTTGTTTGCACTGAGCTACCGCCATTCCATCCGTAGGCAAATGCAAAAAAACAATGCAAGCACACAGATGCGCTTACGTAAATACATACAAACATACATACTGTACATATATATATATATACGTATGTATGTATGTGCGCTGTGCGCATTGTTATTTATGCTAAGCGACTAGTTTCTGAACGTTAGTGAGTGAAGTCGGCAGCGCGCCACTCTCTGCTACGAGCGTTTCTTTCTCCTTTGTGCTGTTGTTGGCGCTCTGTTATCACATAGCGACCAACATAACGCTCGAGCGGTATACTGAAAGGTATTTATAAATATTTTCGCGACTCGCAAGGTTGCTACAAGCGCAAGAGAGTATACAGCACCAACAACAGCAAAGAAAGAAATCACATTCTGGTTAAACGGTGCTTCGGTGAGCTGACTTGGGCTTGCCGCTGCTGCTGCAGCCAGCAGGCAACGGACAATAGACAATTTCAGTTGAGTTCAGTTGCTTTTCGGCTTTCAGTGAGTGCGTTTGGTTTTAGTGAATTTTGAGTGAGTCGGCTTGGCCTGGGTATTTTTTTTTTTGGTGAAACGTTGTCGTGGTCATCGCCAGGCGCTATCGTTATTTAGTTCGTTTGCTTGCTCTCATTGAATTTCTGTGAGCGTCGAAACCGTAGCAGCCGCAATAGTGATTGTATTTAATTTATGTTATAGTGTTGTTGTTGTAAGTGTGTGCCCTCGAAAATTTTGAAAGCTACAGCCACAGCAACAGAAGAAATCAACGTGGTTGTCGCTGACGACGTAACCACCAAACAGTAACATCATCATCATTGTGTTTATTTGTGGATTGAGCTGCTGCAGCAGCAGCATCGAATATCTCACCACTTCGCACCAGCCAAGCGTGGATTTCACATAAGTGCAAACATACAAAAACAAATATACAAAGCAAACTAAATACGTACGTAGTCGTAAAGCAGCAACAGTGGACGGTGTCAAATTTTGTGTTTTTATTTCAATTTACTTTTTGTGGACATAGAGTTGCCGTTGCAATAACTCCGTAAGGCTGCCTTTTTTAATATTTGTATGGTTTCGCAACTGTCGTCGTCGTCGTTGTTGTTGAGACCGTCGCCATCACTCTGACTTTTTCGAAGCCTATCAAGTCGTCTACGTCTATCTATCTCATATACTACATACGTGTACGTAGGCCGCGCGCAACCATAGCCATTCATTCCACTATACCACAAGGTGTGGGGAAATCGATCGATTACGTAGCTTTGCATATGTATAACGTGAGTGTGTGTGTTTATAAAGTGATTGGAAACAAAGTAGAAACAAAAAATAAATAAAAAAAATTAAGTGAAATAATTGCCTTTTTATTTTGTGTGTTTCAATGTGCTGCTAAGCACTGAAAACTAATTGTGAAAACGGCAAAACAAAGAAACTACAAAGAATTATTGAAAAGGCGAAAATACACTATTATACACCATTAAAAAAAAACAAGCAAAAACTTAAAATAGCTAGAAACATTTTTTTACGGCATGGAAAAATCAACAGATTCTGCTACAACGCCACCGTCGCCGTCGCCATCAAGTGCTGTTGTCGGCGGAGCATCCTCCGCAACGAGGACGACAGCGTCACCATCTCCACATGATGGGGTTGCAAATCATTGTGATGGCAGCAATACCACCTTGTCCAGCTATATGATGCCACCACCCACAGCGCGGCCAACAAATAACATCAGTAATAAAAATGCAAGTATAGGGTGTGGTTCAACATCAACATTATCAATGTCATCAGAAACTAGATTAACAACAGAGCATGTGGATACAACAGCAGCTACCAACGCGACTAGTTCTCCAAAAGCTCACACTATAGTTGCTGCCTCCACCTCCACGAGTAACGCATCGTCGTCGTCCTCACCAGCCGCATCAACCACCACTACAAATAGTAATGGTTCTGTAACATCCTCAATAGCTGCCGCCATGGCGAGACATAACGCCTTCATACTACCCTCGCGCACAATGCCTATGAGTGGCTCACTTGCCGCCACCACATTGCAGCACACAAGTTCGCCGCATGCTTTACAGCTACCCCACATCAACTTGAATATAAATACGACGACCGGTGGTAACTTTGGTGTGACGGTGGACCCACAAATCTCAGTGGAAAACTTAAAAAAAATAATTTCTAAGAAACTTAAAGTGGCCAAGGATCGCATTTGCTTGTTGCATCGTGAAAAGTGAGTAAACTGAATTATTTGAAATATTAATGCATATATTTTTTTACTTTTACTATTTTTTTAATTGGTAGGCAGTTACATATGCATTGTATGATGTGTGTGAGTTAAGCAGTTATACTTTCTTGAGCTCAGTTTTGGTGGACTCCATTTTTTTTTTTACTTTTGTCTTTATATTATCCTGCACTCCAGCATTCAAACATGTTGCTAATTATAAATATTTATCCAAGTGTGTTGTGTGGAAAAATCTAAGAGTTAGTACAAAGTTGATTACTGCCTCCAACAGCCATAAGCACTTTTGATTCTCCACGAAGCCTAAGCAAATAGCGCAAACCAATAAACGTTTTCTTGGCGGCAGCATGCGTTGGTATGGTAAATGAAATGGCCGCATTGCAGGCCACCGTTCTCTGTGTGCTGCGCATTGTTCATGGCAAAGCTTGTACAGACAGTCGCTCATAGTACGAACTACATGATTCCCTTTTGACAATTGAAGTAGGCTGCCTGCTCAACAGCCGTTTAAAAAGCAACCTCTACAGCAGCAACGTATCTGTGCTTCCATGTAGCCACATACATATATATGTACATAGAGACATCCAATTTTTGTGTTGTAATAGCTCCCAACCAGGCTGCTCTTTGTTATGCTTTGTGATTGTCGTTGCCATACATACTTCCATACATATAAACATATTTATGTACACGCGTTTAGTACTTGTATGCCATGTTCATTTGTTTGCTGCCACTGCTGCTGCTGTTATGCTTTGCTGCCTCTCCAAAGTGCTCCGCTGCTCCGCGTTATGTTGCTGCCTGCCTGGTGGTAACTACGCAACATGATGCGGCATACAGTGTTATTTTATGACACTACCATCCAGTTTTGCTCTTTAATACTTTTCCACTCCTCCCTCAGTTGTGCGCACTTGTATACATGTTTGCATGTGCAGCCTGTGTTTATGTCTGGTGGTGTAGTAGGAGGTTGTTTTACAGCGCTATTGAGTTTTAAAGAACGAGAGAAGTTGTTGAAGAAGTTGAAAATGTTTAAGTGGCAGCAAAGCGGGTATTAAAGCGTGTAAACCTTTTGGACATTGATTTTCGTATGCATTTAAGGCTAAGTGAGGATTTTAGTGGTGGTGGTGCAGCAGGTGATAAAAATCTCTATGTGATTATAACTACGTATGTACATACATACATACATATATTGAATGTATGTTGATGAACGAATTTAGTTACTGTCCATGAGTTGGGGTTTCTTTTATTACAAAAACTGTACGCATTGCATAAATATACACACACCAAAGTTTGAGGTTATGAAAATTTAAGAAAAAATAAATACATAAAAAATATATGATTTCATTATATTATAGCTAAGTAATGTACATACATATATAGGTATAATTTATGTGTATATAGCTTGAAAATAATAATATACATGCAAAAAATCTATGGTGAAACTATTTATTATTGCTCTTAAATATATGTATGTATGTATACCCTGAACCAATTATATTAAATTTGCTGCTGATGGAAACTTTTCTATTTGACAAGATATCTTCACGAAATTCGCCTTGGATTATTGCCCAAGTCAGCGGTACCATCTGCGATTAAATTGTTCAAATGGCACCACTGTAGCGTATAGCTGCCATACAAACCGAACGTTTAAAATCAAGTTCTTTATATATTTTTTTTTATATTTTAATAAAACTTAATTTTAATAACAATTGGCTATTAATTTAATTTCATCACTTCCGACGATGCACAGTCGATTGCTGTTAGTTTTATGTCACTACTAATAGTCGCAAAAATTAAAAAAATGTATAATTTCTGTTTTATGACTTTCATTTAATTTTTGTTCCACGATTTGACGTGACAATCTATTTCGATAAGAAGCTCGCGAAGTTTCTTCCTTGATAGTAACCCTAACCGCAACTAAATCATAACATGAGCGCGTGTTAGTTCAGGGTGCTATTAGTATGGTGCCTGTTATTCTAGTAAGTTAAACTTTTATATAACCAGACATAATTCAGTTGTGTTAATAACTGTCACTTTACAACTTTCACTACGATTAAATCTATGAAATATACATTTTCTGAATTTGATTGACTTCGTTAAGCAGTAATTGTAGCAGTTTGGAAACAAAAACCGCCATGATACTACAAAAAAAAAGAGAATTTGAACCACTCATCATTAGTGGTGCGCTCAGCACGTATTATACTTAAGGTGACAGCACTAATCCACTATATAGCAACATTTTGTCATTGGTCTAATCTCATCGAAATCAGAAGAGGGGAATGAAAACAGATTAAACTCTCCCCTGAACAGGATTGTAATAAATGCTACAACAATATACACGAACAGTTAAATTCAATTCACAGAAAAGGTAGCAATTTCACTTCCTTATAAAAACTACAATTAAGAAAAAACTCACACTTTTGCGAAATCCTCCAACGAATATTGGTATTATTATTTTTTATTTATAATCGAAGTTGTAAATTCGATATAAACATCAATATTATATAAAATGGTGAAAATTAATATGAAAATAGATTATGCTTCTTCTTCCTATCAACGCTTCTCTATAACTATATGTATTATTACCATTCACTCGCTAGTGCAATTGAAACGTACGACAAATATTTGCGCGTGAGTATGTGTGTGCCAAGCAAATACCACACTTGTACTCATAAATTCACCTACTAATACAAATGTACCAACGGTACAATTGCATGTGTACACACCTATCTATTTAGGAAATCTCCAAATCTTTGTGCAAAACGAAAAAGAAAGTAAAAAACCAACCGAAGGCAAAGCAAAAAGTCACAGTATTGCATAACTTATATTCTAAGACAACAGGAATTGCAACAATAACAACAACAACTGCAGGCCACTACATTATTATCATCATTATCGCCATAAAAATATCAAAGTAAATATAAAGTCGAGCAGCGCAGTGAGCGCACACGAAGCAGCAAGCGAACACATACCGCTAAATGAAAATGACAAGATTGCTTGAAGCTGCAGCGTAAACAAGTAAATAGACCGACCAAGCAACAGCAGAGCGCACAGCAAGTGCCGGCAAAATTCGTAAATTACGCTGGGACCGAAAGTGGGGACTTCGGCTGCTGCAAAAACGGCTGGTCGGTCGGTCGGTCGGCTGAAATAGGCAAATTGGCAAAACGGGTGTTTTCGTATATATATGCGTGTGTGTGTGACTTTGAGTTTGTATGCACTCGGGCGCGATCGTATGTACTTTGCCTACTATTTGATTCTGTGTGTCTGTAGCTATTTGTAGCGTCGCCTATTCGCTTGGTTATTGTCGGCTATTTGGTGTACTAGCGCTCACATACTCGTACGTATGTGTGTATGTATGAATATACATATGTATGCTTGTAGGTATGTGCATACAAACTTTGCTTTGTTCGTTTCGCTTTCGCTGTCGTCGCATTCTGCTGCGCCCACCATATCGCCCCATCGCTGGCGTCATAGTGCGCCCATTATACGAGCAATTCAATAAGCATATTAGCAATTGCAACTGTAATTACATTGCATTTAACTGCACAATACGACTACTACTACTAACACGACAGCACAGCACTAGAAAAAACCCCACGCCCTGCTGCAGCTAACAACGCGCTGTGGACGGTCCGGCACCGGCAAATAAGGCTAAAGTTCTGTGTTCTCGCGTCATTTTTTATTCATTCATTCTTTGTGTTTGCGTTTTGATAGGCTTGTTTTTTGCAATTCACTTTTTCCTTCTACATTCTATAAGCAATTTATTTGCTTTTTGCTGCTGCTGTTGTTGTTGTTTTTGCGATCTATTGTTGTTATTGATTGTGCATTTGCAGTATTTGTCCACTGCATTGAAATGCATTCTCGGTCGCGCAAGTTCAAGTAAAGTGCAAGGAAAAAAGTTAATGAAGATACTAGCTTGGCGATCGTGTGCTCATAAAAAGTGCTGTAGTAAGTATGTTTTTCATCAATTAAGTTTCAGCTCTAAGCAAGTTACTAGTAATTGAAATACTAAGAGAACTTTGAGTTGAAAAGTATGCAGGTCCCGTCATTCTAGATGTCTAGAAACTATGCTGGAACTTAATGTATTCGCAAAAATCAGAAGTGGTATAATTTAGAAATATGAGAGCCGCATTATAAATGAGGCTCGACTACCAGAAGATTCAGCTATAACTTATACAGACTCCTGGCGCCCTCGCTGCCATGAAACCGACTCATCATGCATTTCTTCCCTATGGTTTAACCCCGTAGAGACAATTCGTTTCGTAGACCTACTGTTAGATGACTTACATGGTAATTAGCAAACTTCTTACCATTTCAAACAGGTTCGCCGAAACAGCAGCACTGCGACTTTTAAAATCCCGATCAACTCTGGTAACGTAGAGCCGGCTGTTGTGATAATTGCACCCATTTCTAATCACCACTTTACATACTTTATAAAATCAATGAAGTTAACATCATTTTCCTTATGGTCCGACTCAGGCGAAACAGCACATTTCCTGGGCGTCCGTTACATGATTTCGCTGAGGTTAAACTTAAGCCTTGTTATCCAAATAATTGCTATAACAACAACTATAATATTAAACAGCAACATAACAAGAATTGTTCCTAACACATATCACATACGTTCTTCATAGAAAGAGTTCTAATATAACATTAATCACCTCTAGACAAACCTACCTAATCTTACTCATCAACCATCTCTGTCCTTATGATCTGACTCTGACGCGACAATTCGCTTTCTGGACCTAAAGTCAGATGACTTTAATAATAATTATCCTACCTTTCTTCCATACAACTCAGCTTATTATTGTAGCGGTAGAATTCTGCCGAGTTGACAGTCCTTGGCCGTATAAAAATCGGAGTTCGTTCCACTTATGTACACCAGAACGGTTTACTCGGCTTGTGCCCTAAGATAGCGTCCCTTATTTCCTGCCTTGATAGAAAAGTTGTATTCAGTATTAAAGTACCGAAATTGATATATTATATTTTCTGACTTTGTA